CAACACGCATTCAACTTCAGTTAGTTCATCAACAAACCTGACAGGGGCTTCGTTCTACCTTAGCCTTGGAAGAATTTTGTTGTTAGAGCTTTTTTTCTTCTGGTTTAGGTGAAACAGTTTTCCATCCGCATCAACAGTAATGCCGAAGTAACGACATTACCTGTAATTTACCTTCAATATGAACAAATCGTGGGGGAGGAGGGTGTCGACGCTGCCATTTTAGCCCTAAGATTGCTCTTATTCTTCCCGATTTTTACCGAACAGGTATGTTCACACGAACATTCGATGTTATTGCCACCTCGATTGCCTTTCAGTCTTTATTACTCTTGCCCATTACGATACATGCGTTATGTAACTATCAAATGCCAAGTCTGGATGATAATGACCTGGGAATACGCACAAAGGGAGGAGGGGGGGGAAGGAAATAAAGAAAGTTTCACTCCCTTTTCTACTCTTTTGATTGAATGGAGGTCGTAGAAATTAGCTTCCCGTAGACCAACAACTTCTAACTTCCTGAAGGAAACAAATCACTTTTATACCGTTGAGTATCGTCGAAGAACAACGTGGGTTTTCATAAGCTCCATCGGCTAAGCTCTCTCAAGAGAGGGCGAAGTATTGCACACCCTGGGAGTGTGGAGTGGTGATAAGTGTCTCACGTTACACACATTTACGCACAAGAAAGTCATTTCTCATTCCTCGTATGTAAACAAAAATTCGAACAAAAGACAAGAGGAATCGCAAGAAACCTTTTTTTTCCATACTGTGTAAACATGCAGTATCAACGCTGTTCTCTAACCGACAAAACATACACGCATACTTTGAAGAAAGGCTTATATGAAACCCCTTCAACTGTATTTGGAGAAATAATTTCGGCACATGAATTCTCTTTATCTCCTTTTACTTTCTGCGGCGTCAGAGACTCACTTTAAGTACTCAGAGTTGTGTGTTTGCGTATTTTCGTATTTTATCCTTCCTTTAGTTCCCTTCTCCCATCTCCCCCGCTTAGATGGGAAGGAACACAAGATGCAGCGGAAAAGGCATGAACTTTGCCATCGCTTCATCTGCTTCTCATGACAACTTGTCAGCTGGACTGTACATGCATTATTAATGCTCTGCTCGAGAATGAATTCACCTCATGACATCTTCATGAATGACTTGGCATAGCTAACGAAATACCTTCCAAGATTTTTCTCCCCTCTTCCTCGATTAGCTCTCTACAATTCAAAAAAATCTACCAAAACAACAAAACAGCAACTAATGTGGAAGTGGTGAGGCTGATCCTCCTTTGTCACTTGGTGGAAGAGGGTGACAGATTGAAGGGCGGGCCAAAAGTTTGGGTTTAGGGTTTTACAAAAAAATGTGTGCAATACTGTGTAATGATTGGTTAATTGATTGACCAATCAGAATCATAGCCCCTCAGATTTAGTGGCACGCCTCTCCAGGTCCACCGATTTTTGCAACAATGAAATAAAATAAGCAACAATTGCATGGCTAATCAAAACTGTTAAAACCTTCCCTTCTAAGTATCCTTTTCCCAAATAACAGCGATGCGAATTATTGGGATGAAAGGGAAAAGCTTGATTTGCATTGAATTTATCAACAAAATGATAATTATTAATTTTCTTGCCACTTTTTGCCTGATCCTACAAATATGTGTCGCATAAAAGTGTTTTTTTCTGCATGGAAGCCAATAAATTTAGATCCAGCAATAATGGATACTGAAGGCATTGCCGGGGTAAAATCAGCATTTAAGCAACGAGCTTAACTGTGCTATAGAATGTGCGCAAAATGCAAGCAAAAAAAATGAATAGAATGCTCATTATTCGTTTTTGGCGCATAAAATAAACTCATAAATTATTCACTATTTACCTATTCCAGACAAATAAACAGTGGAGAGCTATCACCACTGCTCGTAAACACACACACACGCACCAAGTCGAGCTGTGAGGGCACGGCCTAATTAAAACAGAGGAATTATTTAAGCGCTTTGTTTCGCCGAATCAAATTGTTAGGGCTTTTTGAAATGGTGAGTAGAATTGCCTCAAAATCGGCATGGTCAATGCCTCCTCTCACTGTATGTACGAGATAGCGCACACTTGTTGCATTAAGAGTTTCTCGCCTCAGGGATTTGTGGCTTACACAAATCGCAGGTAAATCCACTTTGCTCCACTGACTAACAGAGAGGAGAATGAAGATCTTGGAAGTGTGAAAAATATTTTTACGGAGTGCAAATAAAAATGAGCTAAAGAAGATGGAAAAATCGAGACTTTTTAGCATCGATGTGATTAGTTAAATTGTTGATATCAATCCACTGCCACCGTTGCATTTTTTTTGTCTTCACCTAACGACTAAATGCCAAAAAGGTAAGCTACATTATTTTTTGATCTTAAATATCCTTTTTAAAGTCAGCCTTTTAATAGAGGTTGGGGACAGAACATGAGTTTACCCAAATCTACGTAAAATTATAATCGCTCTAATGCACAGGAGGAAAAAGTGCTCGGTCGTATTTGCCTCGGTCATCGCCTGGAGCCTTCGATTAACAGAAAAAAAAATAAAAGGGGAAAAAATGGAGAGAAGGAATTTGCAATGCTATTAAGAGAGGCAGGTGAGAGAAGGACCAAACGATGTTGGTGTAGCGAGGAGGTACAAGACGAATTTTTTTGACTCTCCACTGTCTTCTTGTGTCGAAGTAAAATGGAAGCATTCTAAAAGGTGTTTGGTCACCGTGAGGTCCCCTGAGGGCTGTGGAAGCTTAAATGGATGGTGGAAGATGGATGGAAACTGCAGTGACTACTGAGATTCACGTTTTTCGTTCAAGGGAAAAGAAGTAACTAAGAATAGCATCAAATGCTGTCCACTTTGTGTGTCATTTCACTGCCTCGCCTGTCAACCGAGGGAGGGCAAGTAGAGAACTATCAAAGGAACTTCAAGGGGATTCGTAAAGCGCTCTCAGCCCTTCCATCCTCCGCCCAAAATGCCATTTTCTTGTCAAGGCAAAACTCAAAGTGTCGTTTGAAGTCGTGTTTTGCCCTTCTACAAATGAGTTAGTCGTGCGCAAGGCATTCATTGAGCAGCCCAGAGACGAAGCAGTGCCCGAGAAATTCTTTCGCCTCACAAGAATCGTTTGTAGATCCACAGGTGAGCTATCAATAAATAATAGGTGTAGGTTACTTGTCCCATATCCCATGAGATATCATTTCTCTCCAACTTTTGGAGAGACTGAGTTAATTGGTTGAGTAGTACAAAACTGAAATTTGGAGACAGAAATACCGACGACTGAAAATGTCCATGTAAATCAATGTCATCTTGTTTTACAGCTTCTTTCATCGGTATTTCACCGACTGGTCAACATCGACTAACATATGGCATTTGTAGTCACTGATTTCACTGACCTAATATGAAGTGAGAAGGGAGAAGAGAACAAAAGGCCCAGAATGGGAGGATAGAGGATTGAAGGAAAGGGCCGGAAGGAGAGGCATGTATGGGAATTCAAAGATGCTAAGAGGTTTAGAAGTGAAACCGTTCTCTTACGGCTTCGGACATAATCCACTTATAGAATAGAGGACGTATAGCACAGACGTCGCCTAGCATTCTGCGAGATTTACTTAATTTTCCTTTTTCAACCTTCCCACTGCCTCGGAGTGGTGGTGCTCCTTCCAACCATTTTTAGAGAATAATAAAATTTTTAGTACCGACTTGAACGGATTCCGTGGCAGCGATTACTCGTTATCAACTCATTCTCCACAAGCCACCTTCTCAATGAAAGGCTCTAACATTTCAAACGGAAAGAAGGAAGGAGCAAAAAAAAATTGCTACATCTTCATCTATCCACTCAAAATGCAAACAATGGAGGATGAATTTTTTGTCCCATACTGTCGAGACTGCTGTACATAGCTTATGAGGATGGTGTCACTTGAGTTATTAATTGTCTTCTTGCAGAGCATAAAACCGGAAGCAATTGTCAAATCGGTTTTGAGGGTGCCACTTTTTGCAAAGTTAGCTTACGAAGGTGACTCTTCTGTGACACTCCGATTTGACGCCATCAAATGCTGCATTTTGTTAGAACTCAAGAGAGTGCAAGGCTGAGAGGCAAGAAAAGACAGCACTCATGACACTCATGACCCGATCAAAAGAATAAAATAGATAAGTCTGATCTGCTGACAAGTCTCACATTCCCGCCCCTCCTGTGCAATTGCCCCATCTAGGGTGATTTGAAGAGGAAAGGTTATGTTGACTTATTCTGAGCCGATCAGTGCATAGGGGAAGAAAATGAAGGCTTGCAAGAACATCCAAGCCTCGGTCTCTTGCCTCCTCTCCAGCCTGATCTTCAAATCGTCAAAAAAATGTTGACTCACCTCGCGCATTTTAAGGGACCTATGCGTGACGAAAGTACAAGGCAAAGCAATTAGAGCAGGAAATAACCAAATGTGCCCTCCCAGTAGCAGTTTACTGAGGCCCAGGGCAATTTATGCCTCTTCTGTTTTTCCAAGACATAAACGCACACACACACACACGCACATACACCCACACAAATGGCGCATTTATTTGGGGCCAATAAATGGGGGAGAGAGAGCGAGAGAGAGAGAGAGAAAGAGAAAGACAAGGAGAGGAGGAGGGGTGAGGACAAGAGGGTGGGAGTGAGAGGAACATTAATAAAAAAAAAGTGGAGAAATTTTTATATTATGCAGTTATGAGGACGAAATAAGTGCACTGACTTCTGAGAGACTTGAATCGCACCGAAAAAAAAACGACAACAAAGGGAAAGGCTGGCCAACCTTCGACTGACCAACTGGAATAGGGAGTTTTCTCCTTTTCACCAAAGTAAAACGTATTTGGAGCACACGAACTCATCTTTCCACGTCCTACCTTCAAATGTCACCTCTACCTTCATGAATGAGGAGAGTGTCTTACCACGTAGTTTTTTTCTTGCACGTGAAGAGAGGATAAAGCCAGACATTGATGCCGAATTGCAGACCAAATAGAGCAAAAATTCCACAAAAATGGGGATGGTAGAGGATCAGGTCAATCACCCGGTTAATAAAAAGCTTGGTTTTATACTTGTGCCATGGGCTATAGTCCAAGTCGTTGCCCAGACCAGTGACCGTGCTTCATTGTTGAGCCCACATCTGGTCATTCGTCTGCCCCGAATGCCTTTCATTGGCTATCGTGTGGTGAGCGAGGCCACTGCCAAGGCGGAGGAGGACTGGTGCTACAACTCCACATACAAAGAAGTTATGGCTCGACTAACATCTTGGTTGACCGGATTCGGTCTTCAACAAGTAAAGAAGTGGAAGTCATGTTTCGATCTATAGACCGAAGCCTCCACGATTTGTAGTGGTGTGCTCATTTTCTAAGAGATGATGATTGGTGTCAAAGAGTTTGTCAATGTCTTCAAGCCTTTGATGTCATGGATGGAGTTGAGAGGAGCGGCTCAATGCATTTGCACAACTAGTCAGTCCAGCGAGACATGCTAAGTAATTACGAATATAGTTCCAGCATCGGTTTGGACACTTTATTTCATCTAAAATGAACAAATTCTTATCCCTTGGTTATTGTAAGGGAGAGGGCTTTGGGTAATTAATCCAACACTCGGTAACTGCAAAAATCTCGTGTTTTTGGGTAGTCTAAATGGAGGAAAAAAGCCAGAAGGGTAACAAATTCCCAAGGAATGTTAAGTCATCCAACAAGGCATTTTATCTGGGCAAGGGAGAGAGGGAGAGTGGAAAAGTACATTATTAGTGGTAGATACGACAGTAGGCGATTTTACTAATCCCATACTTAACATAAACCGCGGTGTTGCTGCTTGTCATACCATACTGCAGTCAGCCAGCCGGGTAAAACAGTTCTCCAGAATCATGATAAATTGGCTGCGTTGACTCCACATTCACGCTGGATTGGACTGCACATACGGCACACTACCAACAAGCCTTAAACATTAAATAGACCAAAAAACCTCCACCAACAATTACTCCATCACGCATTCCTACTGAGTGCAAATGGTCATCTTTAAATTATGACATAGAGGGAAAAATAATTAAAAAAAGAGAAGAATCTTACAAAATACAATAAAAACGGCTAGAAAAATAGTAGCTATTTAAACCTATGAAGAAAATTAAATGATGTTCTACTAATGAGCTATATAAGTAGTTATTGAAACACTATGGATAAAACAAAAGTAGTTACTGCTGCTTTGGCAAAACTAACTTGGATTATCGAAAAAGATACATTATGAAGGTGTCTATGCCGTCTGAAAAATGAACCTGCGTTTACTAGGAAGATGTATTATTGCTGAAAAATTGATAGTTTGTTTTGCGTCATAAAGCAGCGGATTCGTAGCACCGAATGACTTTAAGAAAGTAGGTGGCGGATCAGTGACGGGTAACGCTCATTACCGCGTTAAAGATCTGCTATCATATTTGCATGAGAACCTCACTAGGTTTCAGGCGTTATCGCCATCGAGGAAGAAACTCTGCCCCTCCCTTCAAAATGCGGTCTAGAAACGGAGAGACAGCTAAACACAATAAAACCTCCCCTAATGAGGACTGATGAAGACTGGCATTTGAGTGAGACTAGCAAGTCGTTTAACAGAAAACAGAAAGCTGAGGAAGATGGACAACCGAAACTCAGCAGAACTGCAGATCGTTGCCTCGATTTCACAACCTAAAAGATCTTTGGGCAACCGACCCGCTGGCTGACTGCTGCCATCAAATAAGGTGCGCATCCATTTGTTGTTTACCAGCACTCCACCCACCACCAATCCCATGAGCATACGACCCCTGCCACCTAAAACCCCCCCATTTGCGTACATAAGGAGGCATACGATTACTGACCCAATGACAATAACACCGCATTACTGTAAAGCAGTCTAGAAAGAAACGTCTACTTTGGGAGCAGAGAAGAGAGGTTACGGTTGAACTAGCGATCAAAGTCTTCAGGATTGACTCAAAACTGATCCATGAGATCATGTGCATTTGGAGGCAGGCGGCGTGATGCAACGGAGCCATCGCCACACCTCGTTCTCCTCGTTAGTCGGGATGACCCCTCACCGCGTTAAAATATAAAACTTCACGAACATCCGAGGTGGCAATATTTTTGGGAGTGAATTCGAAAACCATCATGCATTTTGAATATTCCAGTCTAGTAGGAAGAATTTTGCATTAAAAAGTTTCCAGTTATTAATAGGCATGAGAATCCTTCCCAAGACGATAAAAACCCACAAATTAAAATTCACCCACTGTTCAGATTTAAGTGCACTTAAACAATTTTACGTAAACTTGTCGGGAAGCCCGGGAGGAGAAGGAGATATAAAAAGGAAAGGTATGTCTTCAAATTTTAACCCTTTAAAATCTACCCACAAAAACTAAATATTTATTGCCGAAGAACTTCGCGGAAATCTTCAAATTTGCATTTCTACTTAATGTGGCAGTGATAGTCTTGTCAGTACATAACTCGGATTGGTTTTGTAAAAAAATTATTTAATTTTTGTGCTTAAAATAAGCAAATGGCTTTGCATAATTTTATGCATGCGTGTTTAGTGTTCCGCGACTTCCGTGAAGACAAACGAAGAAATAATACTTGAGGGAAGTGAAATGGATCATGACCAGTGTCATGGCCCTGATGCCTGTCCACCCAGGCGAATTTAGCCCATACCGGTAGTGAAAGAATTAGCACATTACACTGCCTCTCTCTCCTCCCAAGCGACGCCGTCGGACCTGCCTTAATGGACCCCTCGTGCCAGCAATCAGCACTGAAGCAAAACTCCCACTAGCCAACTATGCTTGTCATCACTTATCATTGCAACCGAAGTTGATTGCAGAGGACTAATCTCCTCCCCTTCCTCGACATTTCTCCTAAATCTGGAGTTTTGCCCAATCTTGATCGTGGATTAAGTGATGGAGAATTTGGCTAATCATTGTGTCTGCCCGTGGATTGGAACTACCACGATTCAGTTTAAAAAGAAATCCCTTTTTAGCAAGAAAACTTCAAAGTAAAGCTTTACCAGACGGTTTACGGTTAGAACTGCCTCTGTTGTTAATGCATTCCTTGCAGTGCACAAAAAATGAGGTGGCTGACGATGGACGGACGTTATTTTCATCTCTTCTCTTACAAGGAACTCGTGGAGCATCATTAAATTTTATCACAAACTCTAAAGGTCAGAATAAGCATCCTATAAATGCTGGATTCCCTTTCCGTTATCACCAACACGGAATCGCAGACTCCGTTAAAGACTGGGGAGGACAAAGTACATTAGTACGGTATTTGCTTTCAGTGGGCGGACAGGAGGCAGAGCTGCTCACACGAACCGCAGATCACTCCAACCTCCGAAAGCGATTCGGCCACCCAAGTTACCGAATGCACAACCAGTAGTCATCATAATTAACAAAAAATTTCAGTATTTTTGCTTGTTAAGACTTGGTTAAATCTTGTAAATATTTAAAGAACCAGTTTGTGTCTTTTATGAAAAGATCAGCACCTCTCGAACATTCCACAGGACCCGGCAACTTACGGTATTGTGTGGCCTCTGATTGATAAATGTTACGGACGGACGAACGAACTTTAAATATTCCAACAATCGCTTATGAGACCAAAGCGCCCAGCATTGGAGCCACCTTGGGATCCACGACCAGCGCCCCTTGTGAGGAGAAGGGAAATCAAACTCTTCATCTCTATGCCAACAATGACCAAATTCACTTGTTAATTATTTAAAATGATGAAAAGATATTGTTTACCTTGACGAAATTCTCATCGTAGCTGCAAGACTTGCCTCTACCATATGGAACAAGTCGACATCTCTTCCAATGGACTTTTGCGCACTACCATTGCGTGCTTGTTTTGGGTTTTTCATCGGATTGCCTTCCCTATGAGATGGTACATTTTCAATATTAGGATGAAAAAAAAGGTAAAAAAGCTTACAGGATTGCCTGGAGGGTATCAAACGAGGTCAAATGAAGTGCACCTCCCTAAGGATGGATTGACCTCAAGCGCATCTTCGTCTCGACAAATCGACCACCACATCGCAGTAAGTCAGTGGCAATCGTTGACTCACTCACCTTGAAAAAGTGAGCGATTTTGGATGCTTGTCCCATAAATGACGCAGTTAAGCTGCCCCTGAGACTGCTGAAGGTAATGTTCATCTTATCAACAGCATCAAAGAGAATGCTGTTGCCTTGTTTTATGAGGCTCCTGACTAGACGGAACATTACAACGAGTGCATCACATAAGCTACTTGCCAGTCATGGGAACATTTGGCTAAGAAGCGGTGTTATTTACTACAACATGGGATCTCAAGGAGCCGCATGCTGCTTTCATCCCTCCCTTACTAATTGTTGTCTTTCCGTGCTGCCAATAAGGATGTGGAATCAAGCCAATAGACAATTACTTAGGAGGAAAAAGAAATTGGTTCCCATTAAGAGTGAAGACGACCTGTTCTCCCTTTCCACTGCATGTCTTCTTACTTTTCTAAAACTCGTAATAAGTCCTTTCAGTATGTCATGCGAGGTCAGAAAGAGCCTGGACATGGCCAACTAAAGTCAGACTTTAACAGAACTAAAAGTGATGTAGTGCTAGCAACTGCTAGCACAGGCAGCTGTCAAACCTATTTGCCTAAATCTGAGTACTTCAAGAGCAGTCAGTCACAAGCATAGAGGTTGTTGCTTAGCACACGCTGTTGGTCCGAAAAGTCGCAATCATAAGTTTTACCATAAAATCATAGAGACAATTTATAAAGCATCTTGAATTAGGCCAACTGAAAAATCAGGAGGATTTAACCAGCCGGAGAGAAAAAATGGACAAATCAGTTACAAGAACTTGGGTTTTAGCAGATCATTACCTAATTCAGACCTCTTCAGTTCCTAACACACAATCGATGGTGGCATTTGAAGTGTCCGAAGTGATAGTGAAAGGCTGCTAGCTTTGAGCTGACGCTACGTTAGCCCGATTGCCATTCAATTACTTCTAGCTGTCCGAGCCACTAATCTTGGCAAGGTACGAAATCCACATCTGGGAACGTAGAAGAGGAATAGTGGGGAAGAAGGGGGAAAGAATGAGGTGGTGCTATCAAATGCTTCCATGGTACATGCGGATATCAAAAGCCAGACGCGGTACATTCTAGATTCCGCCCTTGCATTGGTCCTTCATGCATACTCAAATGGCATTGCGGCGGACAAGGGCTTTGGCCCTACGAAATGCTAGTAACTAAGTGTTCTACAAAAGTGCGTGCTAAGAGTGTCATCAACTACACTTTCCGCAGGTAAATTTAGTGTCCATAATGATAGACAGTTTGAACTCAGGAGTTGTTCTCTTTTATTTGCCA